TCTGAGCATGAGTACAAATTTAGATTTTTGCAAGACAGCTGGCTATGGTTTAGATTTTCCTAGACAACTCTGGAATAGAAAAAATTGATAATATATTTGGCAACGTAAGTCTCCTAAGGTCCTAGAGTCTTAGCTTTTGTTAATTTCCTGTTGTTATAATGACTTTTTGGTTGCTCTCATTTGTGTCATTTTATCTACGTGTTTGGGTGTTTGTTTGTTTTTTAATTTTCAACTCATCGGTGCTTTTTTTTGTATATTGCTTGGATGTAGATAGATAAACTAAAGCAATATTAAGAAAGTTGAGTAGGTATGGTACAGTAAGGTAATGGTGCATACAAAGTTGGAAAGAACTTATGCTAATTCAATAAGCGATAGAAAGCTATGGGTGCTCAGTAGAAGTGACCAACGGTCGGTGTCCTAGACACTCAGCACACTGTATCCCTCTGTGACCTCCAACTGCCGTCCCAGCTGTGGAGTGGCGATCCCTTGCTTGGTTGGCTCACAGGCACTGTCTCTTCAATTTCTTACAGAGAAAGCATCTCTAAAGCGTGGAGTTCCTTTGGGTGAGGCACCTTAAAGAAACAGAAGGGAACAGCCCTGACTTATCTCCGGGTTTTGAATGACATCAACTCTACCCAGATTACTGGGGAAACAGCAGAACCATTTCCTCAGCAGGGTTTGAGGGAATTTGTTTGGACAGATCCAGGAAATACAATTTGATAACTCAGGGTTTATCTCATCCTCCCCTGTCAAATTGGAACCTTTCCTAGAGCAAGAAATGCAGTCAAGAATTGCAGGGTGAGTTAAAATGTATAACTGCACAGGAAGGAATCATTGACTTCATTTCTCATTGGCTGTCAGGGAGCAGGTGCTCTGGGGCTAGACAAAGAAGAGAACAGAAGGCAGAGGAACCCCTTCTCAGTCCCTCCCCCATTGCGTTTGGGATCTGAGCTTACACGGAATGAGGGAGACTCTCTTTCTCTGATATAGTCTACAAAAGTAGTTTGTTTTTATATGTCAGCTAGACCCTTGCTTTTAGGTAGGACCCATGAACCTACAGTAGCAGCATCACCTGGAAACTTGTTAGAAATGCAGATCTTGGACCCCACCCTACACCTGCTGAATCAGAATTCACCTTTAACAAGATGCTCTGGTGATGAGCATTCCACATTAAAGTTTGAGAAGCCCTGATCTAGAGAAATCTCTTTGATAATCAGATGCAGAGACTATTCTAGATAGGGCTTGGCATTGACTCGTGTTTGAGTCACGGCACTGCCCATCATTAGCTCTATAACCTTGAACATCTTTTTGTTGTTGTTGTTCTGGAAACTGACATAGGCAGTAGGATGCCTTAGTGAGCGAAAAGTCGCCCTTCTGTTCAAGGAACTTATAATCAGGCAGTAAATGGATCATTGGAAGTCATCATGATGAGTTTCATGATAAGAGGAAAAGTCAAATGTTATGAGAACATAGATAAAAGGTATATAACCCAGTCTTAAAGGCAGAGATGGCTTCCCAGAAGTGATATTTAGACTGGTGAGCTTCAGTTAAGGAGCACGGTAGGGCGTGGCAAGGGGAAGTGATGCACATTTACCAAAGTGATGGGAACAGAAGCCACATTGATGGAGCTAAGGAACAAATGGGAGGTGAGGAAGCAGGAAGTGTTCATAGTCAAGCCTTTTTAAATGTTTCTCCTGAGGATTAGCTGGAGAGAACATGGGTTGTGGGAGGATTTTTCCACATGAAAGAAATTTGATTATGTACAAATACTGATGGAAATGGACCAGTGGGATGGAGAAGGGGTAAATGAAGGAGGAGACCCCAGAGACTGGAAGGGAAGAGACCCAGAACCCAGGGGTTGGGACCAGTCGCAGGCAGGAGAGGGGTTCCTTCCTTTTGACTAGAAGGAAAGAGAAGACAGAAGCAGATGCAGGTATGTTTGTAGTGTCAGTAACAGGAAGTCAAAGGAATCCCTCTCAGAGGCACTCCATCTTCTGTAGGGAGAAGCAAGTAAGAATACTTGCCAAGAGGGAAGAGGTCTGAGGAGAGTAGAAAGAGATTGAAACAGAGGCTGTAAAAAAAAAAAAAGAGGAAAGGGCTGTTTCAGGGCACACAGAGGTCTCTCTGGGCCCCTCTGATGATGGAGAACTTGCTGTGGCACCAGTTTGCACGGTAGGGGTGGTTTTCTTTAACAGTGCTCTTCAGCATTAAGTATAGGCTGAGACACGGAGGCTGATATAAAGCTGGGGTTTTTTTCCCCAGGTGTGTGATGAAAAGACAATGACACAGGAGCTGACAATTCTGACAAGAATATGACAGACCATGGTATGAGAGAAATCAGTCATTCTCTTCCCTCCCACATCCCCTCTGGTGGGCACATTGGTTATTATGGGTCCACTTGGGCCCCCAATTCATATAGGCTGAAGCCCTAACCCTCAGTATGACTCAGAATGTGACTGTATTTGGAGACAGGGCCTTTAAAGAGGCAACTAAGTTCAAATGGGGTCGTTAGGGTGGGCCCTAATTTAACATGGCAGATGTCCCGTGAGAAGATTAGGACACAGACAACACAGACAGAGGGTTGACTGTGTTAGGACAAAGCAAGAAGGTGGCCATCTGCAAACCAAGGAAAGAGGCCTCAGAAGAAACTACGACTGCCAACACTTAGATCTCAGATCTCCGGCTTCCAGAACCGCAAGAAAATCGATTTCTGTTGTTTAAGCCACCCGGTCCTAGCAGACTGAAACATGGCAAGTATGTATTGTTTTATGCACTGGCTCATGCGGTCTTACCTCCCCGATTGGGCTGTCGGTGGGAGGCAAGGGTGGGCACCTGACCCCACTGACCCCTGACTACAGGCCAACCATCAAGCCGTGGCGTGCGAGTTGAGTCATCAGAACCTCTATTTTGGGAATTTGAACCAAAACACGTGGATATGTGGATGTCGTTTGTGTTTGAATGCCGGGATCCCAATAGACCTGGGGCTAGAGTGGCCCTTTGGGGGCCATGAACAAGTTAATGAGATGGTAAAAGAAGTTGATCTGCAGACTGAGAAGCAAATCGGTAGGTAGAAAGAAGCACCAGTGAGAAAATAGCACCTAAGGTATGGAGAGAGCTGGAGTGGCCCTGACTCCTGAGATTTCAATCCCCACAGGCCTGGATTAGTTTCCAATCTTTGAACTCAATAAGACCTCCCTATAACTTTATAATAACTTTCTCTGGAGCGAGCACCCCCCCCCCCCTCCTTAGTTGGATGGGGAGGGACCCGAGGGAAAAGATGATTTACAGCAAGAAAGCGGAGAAATCAGGGACCTGAAGTTCCTAACTAGGTTGAGGAACAAGAGGGGTGGGGTGACTGGGTAACACGTTCCTTCTGTCAAACCTGCCAGTTCTGAACATCTGTGCGTGTCAATGGGCCATCGGCCCATTATCAATCCAGTGTGCTGTTCCTCACAAAGGTCTTGGTTACAGGACAAATCTCTTATTTCAAAAGAGGCAAACTGGAGAGATATTTTGGAATAAAGAGTACTCTGGTCTTGAAATCAGGCCAAGTAGACCACTGCCCCTCCTTCCTTTGTGTACACAGCATTCACCTTGTCTGCACTTCCTGGGGCCAATAATCCAGCTTCTAGGGAGTCTCTCTGGGTCCTCGCGGTAACCACAGAGAGACCTCCGTCCTGCGTATGTGTTGCTTACGTGGAAAGGGGTGCAGCGTCAGGAGGGGCATCCCTGCAGTATGGTCCATGTCAAATGCAAGGGTACAGTGGTTGGTTGAACCCTGTAGTCCAGGCCTCGGGGTGGTACGCCATGCCCAGCCCCTTGACCTTGGTGCCTGTGCTGTGTCCTCTCATGACATTAACCCCTTGTGCTTTATGCTTTCTGGCTCATTGAATACAACCTTGCTGTGTCACCGGATCGCAAGCTGCTTGAGGACAGGACACCTCTCACCGTCCTCGTGGCCCCTTTGGTGTGGTCATAGGGCTTCGTTTGGAGCGTGTGCTCCACAAATATTTGTTGGCATAAAGTGGAATGCCCCGTCCCCCACAGCCGGCCAGGGAATGCGGTTGTCTGACTCCTTACTGGGGACACAACAGTTGTCGCGATGTCATTCTCTGCTCTCTGACTTGTTCCCTCGCCTCTGTTCAATGCATTCCTCTGGGATTTGGAAGAGATCGAGGCACCCACAGTTTGTGTGTCTGCTCTGAAACACGAAGGTACTTTGCAGTTATGAGGCAGTAACTTTGCCATTGTTTTTATCGGAAATGGTGACAAGGCAGTGATTGACTCTCAACTGCCGCCCCGGGATTTCATGATCGATGGCGTGGCCGCTTTTCCTGTCACCATCAAACGTCGCTTGGCCTTTTGCTGTGGGAATTATGGGAGTCGGAAGGTGAAGAGGGGCACATCTGAGGCTACCTGGATTTATCAGTCTGGTTTTCCAGCAGGAAAAGGGTCAGGCTTCATGATCAGTGAGAGACTATTTCCCCCACGGCCCCTGCCATGTTCAGGTGGCTTCTCAATGTCGATATGGGATCCAGGCAGGTGCAGCGAGCCACAAACAGGATGTTGGCTGATTGGTAACGTTGAATTTCCACTTGGGAAGAAGATTAGCTATAGAAAATGCAATTACCTTTGGATCCCCCAGTTATGCAAATTTGGACAAAATCCCACGGGACTGGGCTGGTTTGTCTTCCTGTGGAAGAAAGGTTTGTTAGCAAAACAAACAGATGAAACAAAATTGCAGGTAGTGTTCAGACATCTTAGGAAATCATTTCCCAAGCCCTTTAGCAAAGACTATATGTAAATCAATAATCAGCTGGAGTATTTACTTATTAAAGCCGTTGGTTTTCAGCTTTCTTTTTATTTATTTACTTTTTTAGACAGGGAAGTTTTTTTTTAAGTCTTAGACAAAGCAGAAGAAAGGGGAGTTCTCTGAGGCGAAAGTGGGCTGTGGGACCCTGCACGCTCAGATGTCCTTTCCTATCTTATCCCTCTTTCAGGGCCGGCGCTGGCCCCCCAAGCACCTCTGCAGAGACCCGGGATGCCAGGGAGGCCCATTTACAAGCCAGCAATTCAAAAGGTGAGACCTACATTTGGAGCTGTTTGATAAGCAGTTAGAGTTACCGTGCATACTTTCCAGAAACGAGATTGCTTCTGAACAAAGCATTCTCTAACTGTGGCTTTTCTTTCACCAGAGACTTGTTCTCATTCAAACAGGCTTTGCAATTAGCCCGGACAATCCTTTGGAGTTCTTCAAACAAAACAAGGGCGGAGGAAGGGAGGGAGAGAGAATAATTAGCGGGGATGCAGGTGATCCCGGGTCCTTGGAAGAGCAGCAAAGTGAAGGATGGGGTTGCCTGGGTCCGTGTTGGTGACAGGAAAGAAGGCAGCGAGGGAACGGGGCACAGCGTTAAGAGATTTCAAACGGTTGTTCCCAGGAGCCAACGCAAATACTTTTCCAAAGGTAGTGTCCCGCATGCGTGTGGCATATACCTCCTGGAGGCTGTTCCACATTATATGGCCCCAGGGCCAGTGATTGAAGTCCAGTATCGGCCCCCTAAGCCAGAGTGCCAGGCAGCATAGACCAGGGCCCTTGGTCTGGTTGCTGGCTGACAACTCAGAAAGGCCACTGTGAGGGGCAACCTGACCAGCACTCCCAAGCATCTGTCTGTGGCCGAAGTCCCCAGATCCTCCGAAGACTGCTCACCCTCCCCTCCTCACGGCACCACGTGGCTGCCATATTTTCCACGGATATATCCTGGAAGGTGGCTGGGGGGGACTCCCAAGCAGACCGTGCATTGTCAGCGCAGAGCCTGATGCAGGGCTCAAACTCACAAAGAGTGAGATCATGATCTGAGCCAAGGTTGGACACCTAAGTGGCTGAGCCACCCAGGTGCCCCCATATTCTGGAAATTTTTCTTGTCCACCAAAGCGGAGAGAATAGCATACTGAAATCTTATGGATGCATTACCTAGGCATCAACGTTCAGCAACATTTTGCTCATCTTGTTTCATCTACATATCTATATCTGTTTTTTTTTTTTTTTGCTAAAGTGTTTCAAAGTAAATCTCAGCTACACACACACACACACACACACACACACAAATAAGAACTTTTGTTTTTTAACATATCCATAGTGTATTATCACCAGCCTGGATTATCTAATAACCTTTGTTCACATTTTCCAGAATATCTCAAGAAAACTTTTACAACTGGTTGGATAACATCAGGTCCAAACTGGGTCCACACGTTGTTGTTTTCAATACATTTCCTAAGTTTCCATTCATCTGTAACAGCTTCTCCTGTCCCGTGTTTTCAAAGTCATTTCCATGTTGAAGGAATCAAGTCCGTTGTCCTATAGAATTTCCCATCTCCTGGACTTGGCTTCCTTCCTTCTCATAATGTTGTTTAGCGTATTCCTCTATCTCCCGAACTTCCTGTGCATGGTGGTTACCTCCAGATCCTTGATTAAAGCCCGGGTTCATTCTTTCTGGCAAGAATACTTCTTAGGGAATATTGTATGCTTCCAATTGTATCATAGAAAGAGACGCATCATGCTTATGGGAACTTCCTAGCGCACATCCTCATTAAATACATGGTGTCGTTTTTCTTAAACTTAGTATACTTTTCTTGAATCTCAATTGGACAGCATTTGTAACTTCTTACCGTTGACTTCTTACGTTGACTTACCGTAGCCCAGAGTCACGAGGAACCCCGGAACACACGCAGCAGATGAACCCCTTGGAGATCAGCAGGTATATCCACAGTGTATTATCCCTAGAAATAATAACAGGAAACTACTTCTGAAGTTTCACTTGTGGTCCACACTTATCATTATGCCCGGCTGGTGATTTTTAACCTCTCGAACCATGGTGAAGTTCTGCTTGGCATGGAACAGTGCCTGGCATCGAACCAGGTGCTTGTGTTAACACACTCATTCTCGGAGCCCCAGGGGGTCAGGCACGTTCTTAATAACAGAGCAACCACATTCACAGATGTGAGCTATGGGTTTTCAATAAGCAATGTGTAAGTTTGCACGCATCAGTTAACAAAAATTCCCCGTGTCATCTAAACAAGCTTGCATAAATTAGCAACAGCTACGCTCTGCGGTGATATTTTATTATCGTCCTGGAGCTCACAACTAGGGTTTTAGGAACTGGAGCTAAAAAGGTCCTTCATGCTGCAAAGGCTTCTGGTGGTGTCTCCAGAAATTCAGGCAGATACTCGAGGGCTGTGGTATCTCAAAACGTAATGCTTCTGCAACCACAGAGAACAAGGCAAATGTGAGATTAACCCAGGCTCTGCCTGTATTCTTTCTTTCCTGCCTCGGAACCAAGGAGGCAATTTTCATTTGTTAGGGAAAGTTACCCCACCGCTCAAATTAAATGACGCAGTTTTCAGGATCAGGGGCTTCGAATCCGCACATCACCTCAAGGAGCCTACTGTGCTCCTACTCTGTCTTATGGAGACATGATCCATTTACAGGGGAGAGGGGTTCCTCTTCTGCGTGAACTTTTGAGTTTTCCTGAAGATTTCCTTGAGAATCTGGAGCCATTCAAGGGAATGATTCTGTCGGGCACTGGAAGGAAGTGTGTGCCAATCACACCCACGTTAGATTATCCTTGCAGAAGAGACCAGTGGTGTTTATTGGATTCGTAGAGCCGAACCCAATCTGGACCCTGAACTTTGCTTTGGTTGAGCCCATTCTCAGGTCTGCATTGGGAGGTCGACTCCAGAGCAAACTTCTGGAGGAGAGCCGCACTATCGTAACCAGTTGATTAATCCCCACGTGGGTTTTCAGAGCCCTCCTCCAGGTCCGGGGGCAAGTTATCTCTGCGTCTCTGTTTTTCCACTATCACAGGGGAAACGGCAGCCTAGTTCAGAGGAAAAAGATGATTGGAAAAGCAAAGTGAGAGTGTTTACCGACACGTTACAATTCCGTGAGCCTCGGGGCTCCCGTCCACCATGGAGAAAAGTTTTATTTACCTTTCCATGATAGGAAAACATGCACCCCAGTGACTTCGCCAGCTCCCCGCCCCCCCCTTCCAGACTGCATCCAACTGCACTGGCGGGAAGTTGCTGGGGAAGGCGGCAATGCACCCTGAACAAATGTCTTTGTGAGAGAGGCAGGCCGTCCTGGCCAGGGGCTAACGGGCCTGCCCAGTGGAATTTTTTTCCCTGTTTAACCAGACTGAGGCCTTGCTCCTTTCTGACAGGCAGACGGGCCTACTCTTCCAAGTACGCAGGAAAGTTCTGTTTTGACAAGCACACACATTCTTTTTCAGAAAGCCACAGAGGCAAACGCCTTTGTTGCAGACAGACCAACTCCCTTCCAGTCCAGGAGGTGAAACCCTTTCATGAGCCACATAATGGGAGCCACAGTGGCGCTGGCCGGTTCAGTCCCCGAAAAGTACATAACTTCTATCATGTGGCTTCCACATACGGAATGTACTTCCCCTCTCAAATCCAAACGCTGGCAGGGCTGTTTGTCCGGCACTGGGACTGGCACGGAGCAGAGGTTGGCAGGAGTCATGAGGCATTTTTCTGTGGGCTTTGGTTTCCTGGCCAGTTGAACCCAGTCCAAGTATTGTCCCCAAGGTTCTGCCAGATAAAACAAGGAGAGAGCTTTTCTAGATGCCTGGTGACTCAGAGATGGGGGGGAGGGGAAGGCACAAGCTGAATGGGGGGTGGGGCGTCCAAGTTCTAGCAAAGGCCATGGCCTGCAGACCCCTCCCCAAGCCAGGGCTCTGACTCTGCCCTATGGAATGTGCAGTGGCCTCCGGAGACCTTGCCCTTCAGGCAAATGCCTGGCACTCAGGCCTCTCTCACCCTGGCACGGGGCCCCCTTCTTAGCACCCTTTGCGACAGAAAGTCAAATTTCCTGGAACCCGGGGTGAGCATTTTGGGGGGACCAATCCCCTTGGCGATAGTTAGTATTCTGAGTGAGCTGCCCAGACCCAGAAGTGGTCTAGAAAGTTGCTACCTTGAGGTAGTACCAAGAATGCTGGGAGACCCCGTCCACTTCCAAAGTGCCTCCCTGAACTGCCTGCCCTGTGCTTGAACTGCCTACAGCTGGAGCCACTAATTGGCACTCACTAAAGCATCTCGTCCAGGAAGTTCTATTTAAAAAGCACATATTAAACAATAAACTAAAATGCACATATTAAACTAATCGCGCCCTAATTAAAACTGGATAAATACACGGAGGCAAATCATAACATATATACAGGCTTAACTCCCCCTGCAAGTCTAGTGGCTCCTTCCCATCCCTCCTTCCTAAGAAATGGCTGCATCTTTTTCAGAGAGGAGGCTGAGGGTAAGTGTCGGCTGGACCCTTCTTCCCATACTCTCCTGGTTCCATGTTCTCCTCGCTTCCTTCAATAGTCCACGAAGACCTTCCTCCCCTGTTGGTCCGAACAAACCCACATCGGATCGACCATTTTCTAGTGTCTGAGCTGACGTGCTAAGTGCAGAAGCTTTTCAACGTCCCGTATTCGAAGTATGGAGACTTTCTGTCTTGCTTACAATTCAGCGATTCTATTTCTGCTGCCCTGTTATTCTGGTACCTATGTGTGATTGCGTGGAACCGTGAAACGTTAAAAACTCAGGAGGAGCTCGTTTCTCCTGAAATATAAAGACTCTGTGATACTGCTTCTTGCAAAAGTGTCTTTGAAGGCCTCCTACCACGTGCCGGTGCTCAGCCCTGCAGAGGTGGGGCAGGGCGAGAGGGTGGGACCTCCTTGATGATGGGCAGGCTAGGGGACATCCTCCAGGCTGTTGGTTGCCAAAAGGATTCTGACGACTCGAAGCCCTTTCCCCTGTGGTCACTTTAGGTCTCCCGCTATCGAATGCCCCTCTGGTTTGGCAACTGTCCTCTGACCACAAAGTAGGGCTTTGCCAATGCCTGATGTTTATTTCCATTTACTTAAGTCTAGGTCACTTGTACTGTCTTGTTTTCTCCCAGTGCTTTCAAACCCAGCATTTTGGATCAATGCAGGGAGGAAAATCCAGGCTTCAAAGCTACTCCTACCTCCAGATAAGTGTGTAAAAACAAACAAACAAACAAACAAATATGGGGCACCTGGGCGACTCAGTTGGGTGAGCGTCCAACTTCGGCTCAGGTCACAATCTCACAGTTTGTGGGTTTGAGCCCCGCATCGGGCTCTGTGCTGACAGTTCAGAGCTGGCTTCCGATCCTGTCTCCCTCTCTCTGCCCCTCCCCCGCTCAGACTCTGTCTCTCTTGTCTGTCTCGCTCTCTCTCAAAAATAAATCAACATTAAAAAAATTTAAAGTATGCCATTTAAAAAACAAACAAATAAAACAAAAGCACTATATACTGGAAAGCTTTAGGTTTCCCACTAATTTCCACTTTCATTTTTTTTTAATGAAGAAAGGATAGAGAAGGGACAACCACGAAGGGCCACAGAGGAAACGGACAAGAAGGAGAGCAGTAGCAGGGCAAGCCAGAGCCGCTGGAGTTCATGGGCTGGCAGGAGCGGAGTTGGGTGTCCTCGGCGTCGACCAGAGCATAGCCAAGCCTTCTGAGCCTTGGTGGACCCTACTGGCAGCTCCAGGCCAGTGTGACCCCGAAGCCGGGCCAAAGACACCCTCGGGGAGTAACCAAGTTCAGGGTGGAGCTTCTTAGCATGGTCACAAGGAGGAGGAGCAGAGGCCAAAATGGCAGCTAAGGACAAGGGCTAGCAGCCTAGAAGCTGGCGTAGAAATAAGACAAGAAGAATCCCAGCAATGGACATTCTGGGCAGTTTCTGGGAAGCTTCTCTCTATCAGCTGTTAGCTAGAGTCTGGATGGCGAGATGTTGGGCCAGACAGTTGGGTTAGAGGAGGGGAAAAGCCAACCATAATGTCTTAGAGCTGTATACACAGAGGGTTTCGGGTAACGCTTTATGAGTGAATTAGCCTTTGAAGACTAATATTTTTAGCTCTTTGCAGCTTTAGAGGACATGTGTCACTGTCTCCTGCAGCCCTAACGTGACTACCTGACCCAGACCTATCCCTGAGCCACATAAAGACAGTGGCTGTAAATGTGACAGGAAATTGCCCACTGGCCCACATACTACATCTGGGGCGCCCAAGGTGGGGGCCGAAGGATGATTCCGTTAACCGGGCTCTGTCTTGCTCTTCCTCTGCCTTGTTTCCAGATCTCACTTATTTATTCAGTAAATGATTACTAAACCATTACCGTATGCCTTGCACCGTGCTAGGCATGGGGCATACGGTGGTGAACAAGACAGAATTGATCTCCATCCTCATAGACCTTAGAGTCTGGTGGAGATTTCAGACAGGAAGGAGGCAAAGAAGAATAATATATATACAAGATACATACATGCGTTCATGAAAAACTATGACAGCACTGCTCTGTTTTTCCTTTACAATCACTTGGTTACATTCATCTGAGGCTGTGTATGGTTGAATCCATAGATTCGAATTCAAAGATCTGGAGACACCCTCACTATCAGGAACTGATCACAAGGTGACACATGCCCAGACTGGTTCCACTCCGATCTTGCCTTCATCTCCCTGTACAGCATTATTCAGGTGGCCTTTCTATAAACAAACAAACAAACAAACAAACAAACAAATAAAAGGGCATTTCAGGAATGTGTGCCCAGATCCTATAGTTTCCCACCTCTCCAAGCTGAACTCATTCCTTGGTTCAAATGGCTTTTTCCTATGGTTCCTAATTCCTTACTTTTGTATCACTTATCTGTGGTCACAATAATGCTGCATAACAGACGGTCTCAAAGTCCAAAATAATAAACATCTACTTAGTTTATGGGTCTGTGTGCTGGCGGTTTAGGCTGAGCTGGCCAAGCAGTTCTGGTCTCAGAACTCACTCACGTATCTGGTAATTGTCTGACTATTGGCCATCTTGGCTGGGATGGCTGATGATTCAACTCTGCTCCCACGTTTGTGTCCTACCCTCCAGCAGACTAGCTGGGGCACGTTGTCTTGGTGGCGACAGAAGACAAGAACAGAAATGCACATGGAAACATGTAAGTGCTCTTTCAAGCATCTGCTTGTGTCTTGCCCACTAATATCCCATTGGATAAAGCAAGTCACATGGCTGGATGCACAGACAGTAGGAGGTCTTCAGAGGTCATGGCTACAAGAAGGGGTGGGGAACTAGGATCGTGGATGTGATCACTTTACCATACCTACCATCTCCTTTTTTTGCTTTTTGGATGAATGAAGAGAGCTCATCTGATTAGGACGTTTGCTTGATTTAATACTGGGACATCACTGGCAATTTTTGTGTTCATATTTTTAAAATTTACCAACAGTAAAATTTACCTTTTTGGGTGTATATAATTCTATGATTTTTTTTAACACCGGCAAGGACTCGTATAATGACAAATAAGACACAGAGCAGTTCCTCCCAGAATTCCTCAGGTCACTGATATTTTGAGACCTCACGTCTGGATGCAGCTTCCCCAAAAAACTGGTATGTTTGAGTGAAAAAAAAGTTAAAGCTTTAGCAACACCTCTGGGCTATTTTGTAGCCCAAACTTGAGGTGTCACTAAGATAAACGAGTCAAAAGAGTTAGACATCAGATGGAATGCCTTGTGAAGACTTTGGTATTAAGAAATTCTAAAAGTTTCAAGCCGGAGGGATCTGAACTTGAAGAGATCACTACATTAAACAATAACCTAAATCCCGGAGAGGTTTGAGTGCATTTTCAAAATGAGGGAGGGATGGAGAGAGAAAGAAGAAGAGAGGGAGAGAGAGAGAGAGAGAGAGAAAGAGAGAGAGAGAGAGAGAGAGAGAGAGAGAGAACAAGAACCTATGCCTCTCGCTCAGTCCGGTGTTGCTCAAAGCTTCTCCCATTTGCCCTTCATCTCTGCTACAATGTTCGTCTCTGCCCTTTGACTTTATTTTCCTACTATCTGGCCCAGTGAGAATAGACTGGCCTATCAGTTCTCTGTTGTCTTAATTCCTCTTGTGGAAGCTGAAGGCATTGTTTTCTTCCAAGAAAGCCCATTTGGTGCTAACTGATTTGAGGTGCCTCCCCTAGGTTTGCAGAGGGAGCAAGGTTTTAGTTCCTGGAAAATGTAAGACACAATTTGATCTTTGCTACCCTCTTGGACTCCTGCCAAGTTCCCTTTCCCTGTCTCAGAGCTCTCCCAGCTGCCAGGGAATTTGATCTGGATTTGTCTTATCAGTCCTAGGGCAACAAGCAGGTGATGAACGAGAGGGACTGGGGAGGCAGCTGTCTCTTCTTCGAGGCCACTGGCATTTTTGAAAGGGACTATGTGTGTGGCAGTTGCTGGAAATGGAGGTAAACCTCACTCCCATGCTCCTTGGTCCAAGGTCTATAGTATTCGTCTGTCTCTTCTCCCTCCAACTAACTTAGAGGTGGCCCTTTCTTCTTGACGGTTCTTGGCCTTCATGGGGCTTTGCAGTGGCCTGGTCCAGAACAGAATTTCCTGGGTATGATTTGGATCGATCTTTAAAACATCGCTCACACTTACAAATCATGCCCAGCGCCTCGAACTGAGTGTGCAAATGTGCAACAGGTGGATGTGAGATTAAAGATGTGAGATTAAAGAATCAAGGAGAAGCTGTTGAGTCATGGCATCTGATCCACTTAGACCTGCTACGCTCTCTTCAAGAACCTGCGATGTCCTTTGAGAGGGTCTGCTTGTGAGTTGCACGTCTTCTGCTCGGCTGCAGGGAGGAAAGCCCTCCATTTCTGCCGGAGTAAAAACGTGAGCAGGGAAGATGGAACCTAGACTCATGGACATCCGGACCCAGCTGGACAAAACCCCGTATGATGAAGCCACTGGGCCGATTCTGTAGGACGCTGTTTGCCTCCATGTCCCGAATAGAAGCGTACCCAGCCTGCCCAGCTGACACCTCAGCATTCCTGTGCCTCGGGGGTCTGATGCCACAAAACAAGTCAACCGTCATTTAGGGGAGTCATTTCAAGGTTTCCCATGTCTGCTCTCTGGCTCGCTTTCCCTCTGCTCCTGTCACCAGGATGTCAGCACCCAAATTAGCGCGAGGCCCCAACCCAAGCAAGCATCAACTGGATTGTCAGCCCCGTGAGTGACCCACCCTGGGGACCTGCTGTTCTAGCCTTGCCTCAGCTGTCACCTTCCTGTGGCCTTTCGCTTTCCCTCGGCATGAAGAACTGCCAAAAACAGCAGTCGGCTTCTCCCTGAGGAAGAAGAAGCTACGTGCAAGGTCAGGTAAACACGGGGCCTAAGAAAGTCTCCCCTCCCCCACCCCACGTATACCGTGTCTTATCCTCACTCCAAGCTAAGGACCTCTATCTAAATCCAGCCACAGCACCGATCCCGAATGGCAGGAAAGTGTTCAACCCAGAAGCCACATCCTCTGCAGTGCCACAGCCAACACCAGTGAGGGACGCGAAGTTAAATCGAAATGGAATTTGAATGACAAAGTGACATGATGTCCATCTCCCTAATGATGGGACGAGTTGGCCTTCCGTCACTGGCAAGGCAAAACTGCCAGGCCCAGATCTGTATTTAAAAGCTATTTTGCATGGCTTTAAGTCACCAGCTCAGCTCAATATCTAAAACAAAGAGAATGCATTATGGAACAGGACGAAGGGAGCTTGTTAATTTTCCCACTGATGCACTGTGAAATGAAAGCTTTATTCTAAGAATGGTATATCCTCAGGGCTCTCTCTGGAGAGACGCTGACAAATCCAAGTGTCCTTACTGTTTCCTTTACCCCCTGCTTCACGGCTTTTTTATACACATTTACCAAATATGTATATTTCATGGTATGTCAGTATCTGTAGGACTCAGTGAGTTCAAGTCTGTGATTCTTTTTAGGGCTTCTTTGACAATAGAGTGCTCAGGTGATGTTATTGATGAACATACACACACACACACACACACACACACACACACGTTTGATTGTGTACAGCCCGTCTGTGCGTATTATAGAAATGTCCATGCAGCCTGCGAGCTATTGTCCATGCTAGTGAGCTGTATAGCCCATCTCCAATTGGAACCCAATGAAATAATCATGATAATTTTGCCTTCGTGTATCACCTTTCATCAGGAAGGATGAAAGGGCTTCACAAACTCTGGGCTCCTCTTTGATCCAGGCTACTATCTGGTGTACCAATCTCCACTGTGCATTCTGCCCTCGCCCCGCAGATGGGCCTCCCATTGACAGTAATTGAACTTCCATATGCGGAGCTCCAGCCCGGCCTGAGAGCCTCCCGTCAGCTGCCAGGAGGGGGAGGGCTGCTTCCAGAAGGGCTGTGCTTGCTGGTCCACATTCGCGACAGGGCAGGAACTATAAACACGGGGAAAGGGGAAAGGAATTCTTAGGCCGCAATTTTAGTTTTGAGAGAGAGGTGTTTCATGGCAGGAGGAAGAACCTTCTAGGCAGTGATAAAACAAATATTCAGAAAGTAGGTGTTGCCTAAGGCTCTGTTCTTAGTTTCTCATCCACACCCAGGACTTTAGCTATTAGCTCTATGGGAAGGACTCCAACATATATATCCCAGGCTCAGACTCTCCCTTGGGTCTGGCCAGGCATCTCCAGCTGTCTCCCGGGCATTTCCATCCACATGCTTTACTAGAACATCAAACTCGACTTCTACCGAAGACCCATGACTCTTCCCCCTTCACTCTCACAGAGCTCCCTTCCCTGACTTTCCCATGTGTGGTCGCTGGAGTTACAGCCACGAGTGACTTGGTCAAGATCTGTGTTCTCGTGGAGCTGGCATTTGCAAAGGAGGGGGGGAGAATGTAAAAAGCAGGTGATAAAAGAAGAGAGACACCAGGCGACGGGGGGTCAGGGTGTAGTGGGTTAGAGGTGTAGACCTCACTGGACGGAGTGACCAACACTGGCTTCTTCTCTAAGCAGAGGATGCGGGAGAAAGCGCCCCGGGTGGGGGCCAGAGGAGGCGGGAGAGCCCGAGGCAGCGGTGAGATCTGCCTGCCTGTGGAACCGAGGAGATGCCACGGTGCCAGAACACGAAAGAGGGCCAACAGGAGGCGGGGAGCCCAGAGAGGTGCGCAGGGACCGGGTGAGGCGAGGTTCGCACATAGGGCGCAGAGTCCGGATTCTCATCCGGTGTCACTCAAAGCCAGGCGACGGTTTTTAGCAGGGGCTGTGGGAGCTGATGCCCGTTACTGGCAACTCTCCGCTATGGCGATGAGTCACTCTGCTCTCTCTGTGAACCCCTCTCGCTTTCCACGCAGGCAGCGTCTAGCACAGAGCGAGGGCAAGGTTTTGGTCCTCCTCCAACTCCCTGCATCTCCCCTCCAGGGTCCTGGACAGAGTCTTCTGTGTTCAAGAGCGCTGGCAGCCAAAGGGAAAACAAAGCATCCCTTTTGTGATCACTGGGAAAGCACCAGATACCCCTAAGGCCGTGAACATAGCTTAGGCTTGCCGACCAAAGCCTAGCTTCCTCATATCCTGAGAACTTAAATCTGGGAGCCCACCTGCTCAGGCGTGCCTGCTGGGGGAGGGGCTGAGAGTTGGGTGGTCAAATGGGGACTGGTGGGTGCCCCGATCCTTCAGCTGCTGTGAGTGTCGGCTGTGAAGGGGTCACAGCTGCTTCTCCAGAGAATCGCCCTGGGGAGGCTCATACCTCCTTCCCCCCGCCCCGCACCCCATCCAGGGGCAGCAGGCAGCCCATGACTGACTGGAATGGGGGCACGAAAGGCCAGCCCGGCCCAGGGGGTCAGTCCGAGCCCCAGCAGTCTCCAGCTGAGACCCCATCCCTGCTCTGTCTCTTGCTCCCTCTGGGCTCCCCTCCCTCCCTCCCTTCCCCTGGGAGCATTCTGTCAGTAAGCCACACGCAGTTGGCCACCTTCTCAGGCTCTGCCTGTGGGGCAGGGAATGTAAGACAAAGCGAGATGTAGCCAGACCTTACAAGGAGGCCGGACTCAAGCCCGCCGTGAAAGCTTTCACCCACCTTTCTCTTCTCAGTCCATTCAGGTATTCGACAAATATGTCGAAGCACGCTTCATTCACTGAGGCACACGAGGAGCCGGATGGGTACGGCCCATGCCCTCGGAGCTTGTTTACCAGGGGGAAAGGCACATATTAGACTGCTACACGCATCCGTTTGGGCGCGTGGTGGCTGGGTGGCCTTCCACACTGTAGTGGGATTGTTTGCCTCCAAAGCCGTATTTCCCAGACGGTGCAGGAGTGCAAGTGAGTCTAGGAAGAAGCATGGCCACCAGAACCTTCTGCTTGGGAGCTGCCGGGATGCAGTTAGAAATAGGGGCCCAGATGGCATTACCAGTCTCACCATCTCCCTTGAGCTGGCTGCCGCCGGTGAACCCATGTAGTTAAAGGGGCAAGAACCCTGCAGGAGACCCCTTGGTGTGGCTCACAGCTCCTTCTCCTAATTATTTTCCTTTTTTTTTTTTGGAGGGAGGGAGTGGGGGAGGGGCAGAGGGAGAAAGAGAGAGAGAGAGAGAGAAAGAGAGAGAGAGAGAATCTGAAGCAGGCTCCCTGCCCAGTGCAGAGCCCTATGCAGGGCTCATTCTCATGACTGTGATATCACGACCCGAGCTGAAATCAAGAGTCCAACATTGAACCAACCGAGCCACCCGGGTCCCCTTTATATATATTTTTTTAACTTGGTTATTTCAGCCTCTCGGGAGAGGCTCAGCTTGTGGGGGAATATGGCTGCCTCCTAGAAGAGTCTGGCCATGACTTCAACATCAGTCCCACAGAATCCAACACGGCTCAAGACCCCCCATGCTATCGTGGGCTGAGAGCCACCCCGCAGCTCTTGTGACCGAAGGTGAACATCCCAGTCATCGCTGGGCTTACACAGAGGCTGGGTCCTGTCAGAGAATTCTTTTCACCCGGAGTGCCCAGCCACATTGCTGGGAGGAGGCTTTCCTGGGTCTATGGGCTCTCCTAGAGCTCCAGCTAACACCAATCATCCTCTGTGCCTCAGTTTCCCACCTGGAGAAGGAAGAGGAGGATGGCAGACTGAGGCTTGTTCAAGTCAGTCTGAGGGTGCAGCCTAAGGAAGGTCTCCCTGAATGGTGGCCGGACTCCAGAACCCTCTATTAGTGCTTACTAATGGAGGGCATAAATTCGGGTCAGGGCCAGGATTATGTGTGTTCACCTCATGCAGTTACACAGGGCTTCCCACTGGGAAGGTCCTCAGGCTTGGTTTAATGCCCTACTCTTGCTGGCTCAAATTTCTTAATAATTCGTAAACGATGAACCCTGCCTTTTCATCTTGTCTTTGGCCCCACACCTTATGCAGCCAGTCCTGATTGGGGCCCCACAGCAAGAGTTGTTTGGGGTTGCCTGCCAAGAGGCAGGGGGAAAGGTGAAACTTCCCCGGGACATCTTTCACCAACCTCACAGGCTCTGCAGCAGAGTTCTCCAGTTAGGCAGTGTCTCGGGGAGAGCGTATTCCCAGTATAAAGCCATCGGACTGTACAGAGGCCAACATGGCGGACAATTCCTGATGCCCCAGGGTGGTCAGCAGGGAGAATAGAAGGGAAGAGGGGCAGGAAAAAATCCTGCTTGGCTGAGAGCAGACCCCGATCTGTCCTCTCTTATTCCGGCAGATGTTTGGAGCTGCTTTTCTCGGGGAGCTTGTGTGGGCTCCTTGGATGTTCCCTGCTGGCTCTTCACTGGGCCTTCCCTCCATCCAGACAGAGGTCTCTCTGTCCCAGGAGTTGGTCAGGCTCTTTCCACGGCCCCTAGAGGTCCAGCCTTCCCGTCAGCTCCTGGGGCCTTTGTAGAGATGAATGCAGGCAAACCCCACCCTGCTCCCCTCTGCATCCAGCTCGATCCCCTCAACCTTGCAGCCACGGACCGCTTTGTCTCTAGCAGCCATGAAGGAAGATACTGATCTCTCCTTCCACACTTCTCATACAGCTTTACCCATGTCACAGCTTTCTGAGGCGTCCCATGGCCACGTCTCCCTAAATCTGAGGCCAAAGTAGCACTCTACCATTTCCCCTAGATGGGATGAGGAACCCCTTGGCAGAGCAAGTATTTTCTCAATAAATAAATACATAAATAACACACACCCCTGCAAAATTCTCTCACCCTCTCCTCTCTCGCTACTGTTTTTGCGTATTTTGAGTGCAGAGTATAGTTGAGTGGCTGAGAGAAGATTCAGGAGCCCTAAAACTGGTTCTTGACAATTTTCTTTGTAAATTTTACATGAGGGAGCTGGCTTTGGAATTTCACACCATTGTGTCTCATCCTCTCTGTGGAAACTTCAAGATTAACACCTTGTTACAGGTACAAAGCCCCGGATTAAGTGCCGCAAATTGAATAACGTATCGTGTGGCCGGTCCTGTCAAGTTTATGAAGCATCTCACGTAACTGGCCTCATCTGGTCCTCCCAACAGCCCTGTGGTAGACATTATCAGGTTCTTACTTTACGGGTAAATCTTTGGAGATTCAGTTGGCTGTGTGCTTGCCCTTGCAACTCAGCTCATAATTGGGAGGGCCACAGCGGAGGCCCCCTCCCCGGTCTCCTCACTCCCAACCGCTTGCTCTGCCCTAGTGTCTCTGCCCGGGAAACAGACATGGCTGCTGGTAAATGAGACACAGAGCAGCCTCCAGGGAGCTGTCTACAAGGAATGAATGAAAATCCATTGCAAGCTGTAAAACGAAGGATCAACAGAACGGGTTACTACTTCTGTGATTATTACCTTTAGCTCCTGGGTCATCTGGGTTGACTGTGTAAGATGCCCAAGTTCACCTATTATGGTCATCCCACTCCTGGATTTTGGATAACCCTGAACACCGTCTATCCCTGTCTTTGCCTTGTGTTCCCTCATTGCTTTGAGTATCGTTGCAGGTCAGTTATACCCTCCCTGGCCCCGAGTGAAGTTTACTTTTCCCGCCTCCCTGTACTTCAGGCCTCTGCTCATTCTCTCTCCAAACCACCTTGCCCTTCACAAAGGTGAGAAGGTGAGTCCACACGGAGAAGCGCCCTGGCCTTGAGTGAGAGCAGCTTTGTAGTTGTGAGGACATTGTGAATGATCTAGAAAAGTTACTTACCAAAAGGCAGGGAAACACTCAAGTGAAGGGAACATCGGCTAAGAACAATAGTATGTAATGTATTTTGTACATGCTAAGCACTGTTGTCCATGATTTTTTCTACCAACACTAAGTTCATGGGTTTGTGAACCCAGGAATAATTATCCCCATTCAACAAATCCCAGCTGTTAAGGTTAAGTACCTAGCCTGAGGTCACACGTAAGCGGTAGACCTAAGATTTCAGCCCAGATCTTTCTGAATTTGAAGATCATGCTGTTAATCATTACGTTGTGTGTGAGCTGACCCCTTGAGGACGGTGGAGAAGAGTACTGCAGATATATTCATGTGGGTAAAACCATAAGAGCTATTTTAAAGAAAGAATAAAGCACGTTTGCTCCCAAGTTCCACCCATAAATATGCCATGAAAACTTGCATGATTCCTCTCGATTCTTTTCTTCCAGAGTACCCCAAGCACTCTGCCGTGGATCATAATGTACATAACGGCTCTTCACGTGGACGTGTTGCCAGCTAAACCTTCTTATAAGAATTCGGGATGCGTTACAGAAACATGGCTCTCCAAAACTACGCGTTCCTTTAAAATTTCATTCTGAGGAGTAGTCATGAGGCCTGCTCTCCCCACGGCCAAGTCCACCACATTAAAGCAAATGAAAACCTAACTCAGATGATTCACATAAATTAGTCTTTCCATAACCTTTTATATTATCAAAGTGCTTTGCCCCTCTGGTGTTGGTCTGTGCAAACCAAGTGATTCAGCCAGCCAAAACATCAAGGAGAAAGATCCCACCAGGCTTTGATTGAATTACATAGTCCATTTTGTTGTTGTTGTTGGCCATTGCTGAAGTTTTCGTATGAAATTAAAACAAAAGAGCCTACCCCTCCCAGCTAACATCTCTGTAAGAAAATAATTGGCCGGCCTTTGTTCTCCTCCCCTCTGTAGAGTGAAGGACCAAGCCCTCCCATTGGGTTGCAAGGTGGCACATCTGAGAGCTTTGTGCCAAGATACAAGGTAACCCGAAGAGTAGGTCTTCAGCTTGGGTTCTCCCAGCAGCAGACCCTGAGGCAAGAATTTGAGTGTAAGGGACCCTGGGTGGCTCAGTCAGTGAAACATCTGACTTCAGCTCAGGTCACCATCGCCTGGTGCGTGTTTTCAAGATATACATCAGGCTCTCTGCTGTCAGCGAAGAGCTTGCTTCAGATCCCTTCTCTCTCGCTCTCTCACTGCCCCTCTCCCCTTTCTCAAAGATACACATTGAAAAAAAAAAAAAAAGAATTTGAGTGTAAATGGTTTATTCAAGAGGAAACATGGGTGGGAGAGTGAAGAATTGAAAGGGAAGGAAAGACAGCCAATAAAAGGTCCATTGTCAAAAAAGTTACACTTTGGGAGGCTAGGGGTTAATCCTGCTTGTGTCCTCTGGGAGTCAATGAAGAACGTGGGCCTCTGAGTTTTCGGCCTGGGAAGTGAGGAACTAAGGGTATTTACACACCATCTCCCATTACATACTGTTTTAGAGCTGCTAGATCAGGAAATCCCTAACAATTCCAGCTTCAGGCAAAGTGCCCCAGGTGCCAGCCCTGAACAGATGGGCCAACAGGCATGGAAATGGTAAAGGCCAAAGGAAGAGGGGGAGAAGAACAGAGGCCGAGCTGACTCCTTCGTCAGGCACAACATCTGGGGCCCATGAAAACATTCTCATTCTAGTTTCTTTTCAGATCAGAAGGAAGAATGGACATAATCATAATGAATATGTAAAAATAAATCCAGCCTGGGTGGTATTTGTCTTTATACCAGCACAGTCATAAAATAGAATTAAAAAAAAAAAAAACAAAACCTTTCTTTTAATGAACAAAGGGACTCATAAAAACCCATAGAAGTTACACTGAATCCCTGAGGAGGAGTTCAGTTATTTATTTATTTATTTATTTATTTATTTATTTTTGATTCTTGGCCTATTCTCCCACTTCAGATGGCTCACACTAGTCCAAAGTACCCCACCCCTTCTGTTTTCGTTTTTTTCCATGCTCCTTTTTCTTCTCTTCTGCTTCCACGCTCTGGTGTCTCTCGTGCTATATTTCTCTATCTGTATCAGTAGTGGATACGTGTTATTTTTGTCTGTTCAGCATCCAGTCCCAAATCTTCTGATAAAATATTTGTTTTTGAGGAACCAGTCTGCCCTACCTGCCCCTGGCCAAGAGGTGGGCACCTGACGTAAATCAGGTGATCACTCCCTGGAATTTGAGTTCTGAAGAGAGTGATATAAAAACTACAAAACTTCCTGCCTCAGAGATCCCTGGAGTACCCTAGCTTCTATCATTTTTGAAACCTGGTTCTTCAGCTATTCTTTCAATTCTGCAATGTATAGGGTATATGTGCAATGCATACGAGATGCATACACACACACACACACACACACACACATCAGTACAGGAAAAGCATACCATGTTTATAGATTAGCAGACTCTATGTAAAAGTCATCTATTCTTGTTGAATTGATGCCCCAAACAAACTATGAATAGGGTTTTCTTTCTGTAAAAATTAAGAGAAACTGAGACACTCTTTTTTTTTTTTTTAATTTTTTTTTCAACATTTATTTATTTTTGGGACAGAGAGAGACAGAGCATGAACGGGGGAGGGGCAGAGAGAGAGGGAGACACAGAATCGGAAACAGGCTCCAGGCTCCGAGCCATCAGCCCAGAGCCCGACGCAGGGCTCGAACTCCCGGACCGCGAGATCGTGACCTGGCTGAAGTCGGACGCTTAACCGACTGCGCCACCCAGGCGCCCCCTGAGACACTCTTGAAGAAGAAACATAAGGCATGATGATTTGCTCTACCAGACAAGAATTACTGTTTTAAAGTTCCAGTAACTGAGATACGGTTAACTAAGCTAAAAGTCTAGACAAAGGCACCAATGATACAGAAGAGAGCCAAGAAACAAATATATAGGTGTAGAAATACTTGATTTATGACCAAGGTGGCATTGCAGAGAATTAGAATAAAGATTTTTCAGTAAATGGTGCTGGGACAATGAGATAGTGATATAGATGTGTAGATACAGATAGAGATAGAGATAGAGATATTGAGATATAGAGATACAGTTATGCTGAGCCCCTATTTCATACTATACACAAAAATCAATTCCAAGTGGATTTTAAATGTGAAAGGCAAAACAGCAAATTCTTTAGACGATAAGATTAGAAAATATCTTCATTATCTTAGAGGAAGGAAATAATACGGAAACACATAGTAATTAATGAAATAGAAACTTGCTAATAAGGTAGATCTTAGGTTAAGTGTTCTTATGGAAAAAAAGGAAGGAGGACACCTTTAGAGGTAATGGTCCCATTTATGGCACTGTTTATGGTGACAATTTGATGCATATATACTTATCTTCCTAGTCAAATTTTATTTTTTTCTTTTTGATTTTTTTTAATGTTTATTTTTGAAGGACAGAGATAGAGTGTGAGTGGGGGAGGGGTGGAGAGACAGGGAGGCACAGAATCCGAAGCAGGCTCCAGGCTCTGAGCTGTCAGCGCAGAGCCCGATGTAGGGCTTGAACTCACGAACCATGAGATCATGACCTAAGCCAGGCACCCCCATACTCAAATTTTAAAACTCCAAATCAAGTTGTGAGAAAGTCTTTGCCTCCCTGGCTCTCCGACCAATCCCTCTCTTGCAAACTTTGCACATTTCTTAGGTTAAACGAGACCATAAGAAACACTGACTGGACGTTAAGAAAGATTACTAAACCAGACTCGAAATTAAGAATTTCTGTTTAAAAAAGTCACCTTTAAGAGCCTGAAATTACCTTTAAGCATGAAAAGACCATGAAAATGCAAGCCACTGAGTGGGAGAAAATATTCGGAAATCATATAACTGACAGAGAACTTGTATCTTGAATATAAAGACTACAAATCAATAAGAAAAAAGTATACAGGGGTGCCTGGGTGGCTCAGTCAGTTCGGCGTCCGACTTCGGCTCAGGTCATGATCTCACAGTCTGTGGGTTCGAGCCCTGCGTTGGTCTCTGTGCTGACAGCTCGGAGCCTGGAGCCTGCTTTGGATTCTGTGTCTCCCTCTCTCTGCCCCTCCCCTGCTCATGCTCTGTCTCTGTCCCAAAAATAAATTTAAAAACATTAACAAGAAAAAAGAGAAAGAAAGAAAAAAGTATACAATGCAATGAAAAAATAGGCAAGGGACTTAAACAGATCACTTAGGGAACAACGTGTCTAAATGGCCATAAATATACGAAAAGCTGATTAATTTCATTGTGATGAGGGCTGTGTACATTTGCAACCACAACGAGATGCCAATGAATGCATCTCTGATGAGGGAGACCAAGGGTCTTTGAGGTCAAGAGCACATTTGCTTTTCACTGTCCTCTTTTGCATTGAGTTTATTTTATGCTTCCTTGTATTTCTTTAAATTGAGAGGAAATAGAATTAGTTTTAAATTAGAGAAGGAAAACAGTAAAGAACAGAAGTGACAAGACAGACTGTATCTTTTCTGCTGTGGATCAGTGACAGGCATTAGCTGACTGGTGTTCTTGAGCTCTCACCACTACACCAAGATAAATTAATGACTCAGAAATCAATTGATGGAGCAGTCCAACAGGTAATTCAGGCTCCCAGACCACTTTTCTTTTCTAATAGAAGACAGGTTCAGTAAGGAAAGCTAGTTTTCTTTCGCTCTCAAAGGGTCATAGTGGGCTGGGATGATATCTAACTGACTTGAAATAGAACTCCTTTGAAATACATCTATGTTTTAGCTGAAGTACTAATTTTTCTATCTTGCTGGTTCATTCATCCACCTAACTGTGCCTACCGTGTGCCAGGCATTGTTCTAGATAAAGAGGATACAAACGTGAATGAAGTAGACAACTTCTCTGCCCTCTTGAAGCTCACATCTTAGTAGGAACGGAAAATAAACAAATGTCCAGAATGAGGCCAGACATAATATGTGCTATGAAGAGAAGCAGAGTTAGAAAGAGTTGAGGGTGATGTGGTTTCAGCTAGGGTGGCCATGGAAGGTCTCTTGGAGGAGGTGATGCTTCAGCAGACAGTGGGATGAAATGAGAGACAGAGCATTCTAGGCACAGGAAGCAGCAAGTGCAAGGAGCCTGAGGTGGTTTGCCTGCGAATGGACTCTACTCGGCTTCTTGCTGTTTGATGGGGTGGGATGTTATTTTCCTGGGCTGTTTCCTTTAAAAAAGGGAAAGTTACAAGTGAGTTTAATGTCTGTGGTTTGTCTGGATGCGCTCCTCCGGGCAAGCCTGTGCCTGCTAGGCTGGAAGCAGATGTTGTCAGCAACGGGCTATGAAAGAACAGATTGTCTCCCCTGGTGTCATGGCCATGCTACTCATACTCTAGAATAGCTAATGAGGTGTCTTCTTCTGGTGTAAGATGAGTGGGGATTTTCAGACCAACTCCATAAAGTGTCCTACAAAGAGGGCCTCATGAGCCGCTGTCACAAGCTACAGGTCTTGAGTTCCCTCCCACCCCACCTCAGGATGTTCAAAGGGCCTATTCTGAGCTACTGGGCCCCATCCAGGACCCTTGGTTGCTCCTATTCCCACAGGCTTCCTTTGGGTTCTGACCTACACACTCCCGTTTCTTTGTACAAAAGCCTTGTTTTCTTTTCTTTCACAATTAACTTCGGCTCATTAAAACCCAGAACTCAAACATTTAGCAACCAAAAAACTGGTTCTCCTTTCCTTGAGGCAGGGACGGCTTGCTTTCAAACTCTGCCAGCTAGTGGGGAGACGATCACATTCCGTCCTGCTGGCCGCGAAGTGCCCTCCCC